CGGGAACGAAAATCCATTGGCGTGTCTGCGTAAAAGGCAACAAGATATAGAAAATAATGAAAAAAGATAATAAAACATAACATCTAAATTTTTTTACGGTTTGCTATAACAGGCACTTTGATCCATTTTAATTATTACAGCATTTTAAAACGTCCCAGTTGTGTTTTTTTAATTTATAAATTTATTATAGCAATGGGATTAGACCCCTCGTCTACGCTTATGCTATGACGTTTCTCAGGACGGCTAAATCAAGTCCGTTTACACCCACTAAAAAAGAATTTCCCTATTCCCTACCAAGTGCAAAAGACAGAGATAGAATATAGATCGACGTTCAGTGTAACTCAGTCTATAGACGATTATAGATTCTATCGATGTGCTTAGTGAGCGGCACAAAGATAAATAATATTGAACCGTTATAAAAATCATTTTATATTTTATGCGCATTAGTAATAGTGTATTTATATTGTGTCTGAGTCACTCTCTATAAATTCGACCGCGGAGTATAGTATTACCTCGTGTTACACGCCGCGCCGTTGTCACATTGCTCGATATGAATTTTATCGAATTATAAATTTATTACAACGCTAATTATTTTTTAGAATTAAACATAAAAAAGTTTAAAAAGTGATAATCATTGTATTCTATAGTATTCTATGGACGCAGTTATGTCAATATTCCTTAATTAATTCCTTATTAACTTTTATACATATAAGGTTTTTTTGTTTATTTCCATATATTCTATCGTCTGTTAAAATTAAGGCAGTCAAACTTCTAACACCCCGTAGAGCAGTATTCGAGTTTAGATTGAACAATAGATTGGTATAATAATTGAATAAAGTATCTGGAATTGAATTCTTGCGTATGACGGATTATAAATCCTAATTTTTTTAATCCCTCTGTAGTAATATTATGAATATGTTCCACAAAATATAACCTGCTATCAAAACTACTCCAAGATCACAAAATAATTGTGTCCTAGCTAGAATAAAGTCATTCAATGAATAAATAAATACAATGGGATTATTCTTAAGAATAAACAATGCATTACATTACACTTGTTTATATTTAGCTGCAATTTGTTGAGAGTACACCATATATTTAGACAATTTTGGGAATTTGGCAGTTTAGTACAGCAATTAATTATTTTATAGATCTTCATATAAGTACATCATCTATGTCATTTATAAATACATATACTAATAGCGTTTGGCCCCAGCACCAAGCCCTGAGGTGCACCTGATGGGTTATATAGAATATCATTTATGGAAACGACTTTATTACTACATATTGGTTTTTTTAGGTATGAACGTTGTGCATCTAATAAAAGGCCCTCATGGGAGCATGGTAATGTCACCGGTTGAGGCGAAGCTAAACATCGATTCAGATGCCCTAAAACCAAACAATGAGGGAGTAGTGATTGATTACGAGAATCATTTTAAAACCCACCACAAGGTGGCCGATATAATGGACGATTAATGCTTAGTGTAAGGGTTGCAAATAAATGGTTTCTAAAAGACCAATCTGTAAGTTACATGTTTTATTAGAAAGATATGACACCAAATGCAAGAAAAAAATATTTTCTGTAAATGTAAATTATAGATTCTTCTTTAATAAATGTGTTTATTAAAGATTGGTTTTAGAGGACCTAATAAAATCTAGTCTCAGCGTAATCTAAATCGGAATTTTCAAAAATTGTATATTTTCGTAAGTTCTTAAATCTAAAACACTAATTTTTCTAGTTCTAACAGTTAAGCTCAATAGTTATAAATACATAGTGCAAATGTTCTAATACCTACATGATTTTTAATAAAATGAACCCTGAATTAAGTGTCATATAGAAATATTTTTTGTAAAATGTATTTCTCTCTTCCTGTTTAAATTTTTCAAATTACTCTGATAATACTTTCACATACAGCTTTACAAAAATACATAGCAGTACAAAATTGACATACAAATGTTTTATTTATACATCACACAAATCGCCAATTTGGATGTATTTTTATAGTTATTGTTTTTTATATAATTCAGTTTCTTTATATTTTAGAGTCTATTTTTAGTGTTTGTATTAAATGTAAATACTAAAGTGTATCTAAATTATTCGAAAGAGGCTGTGTGTCTATTTTAGTCAATAGTGACATTTTATTTACTTACCTTTTATCTTCTTTGTTATTATTTTTTATTATAATTTACTATAATGTGAAACTTGAATTTTATTCCCAATTCAATGGGTACGTTTCAGTCATTGAAATGGTCTTCAAAGAATCAACATCTGAAATAGTGGCCTTTATAGTTTTTCGGGTGCGGCGATTTCAAATATGTAGCGATTTCTTCTTCTTCTTCTTGGAGTGCTTATTATTTCACCAGCCACTTGATTGTTAAACTTACAAACTAAAAATATTGTAGATCACAGTTGGCAAAATGGCAACTAGGTATTCAGAATTTGCTTTTAATGCAATTTGATGACCTTCTTATTAGTTCCATTTTACTTAATTACCTTTTTGTCCTCCAGTTCGCAGCCCGTCATCATCAAATGACTCTTATTTGGCAAATTATAATAATTGTTTATGTAAATGTTCGACTACTATCACACATTAGATCCTATTTACGGCACCTTCCAATGAAATAAAATGTTTTGTTTCATGTTTCCGTTGGGGCGCCGCATTGACAACAGGAAATACTGTAATTAAAATGATTTCTCCTCTTGTTTGATTTATAAGGCTTTATCGCGTGATGTCATGGGGTACTTAAATCTATTGTGTGAGTGAACAATATTAATATCATTACTATGTCGAAATGATTTTCGTTGTGTCATCAGTTAAAAATAGGTATTACAAAAAAAAATCCTGTAACCCTTAAGATTACTTATTTTATATTAAAAATGTATCACTTTTATTTCTGATAACGTTTATAACAGAACATCTTTTTATATCAAAGCAGAATTTATTTTGCTTACACCAAATACATAAAAGTGTTGTTCCTAGAACAATCCGAAACAGTTTCCAACAGTTAGACGCTTGCGCATTCCGATATAATGTTTACTTGAGGTTCAACATTTATTGTTCCGAATCAAATGCGACTGCATTTGTTGGAAACTGTTCCTAATTCGCGAGGAACAAAGCCATTAATAACTTTTTTCAACAATTTACATTCATTTGCACTCTTAACACCTAAATATTTTAAAATCATCAGTAAATAAAATACCTACTATATAAATATGCAAGATTATGGTAGTAGTTTATTAATGAAATTTAGAAATAATAGAGGTCCTAAATTTGATCCGTGGGGGACTCTTGAGTAAGGTTTGTAATCAGTACATCCATTAGACTTGACAAATATGTATGTCAATATAAAATTCGTTACACGATTTCTGAATACATACTTGTAGTCCATTTTTAAGAGAGTTTTAACTTATTTCAATGTTAATTTTTATAGACGAAATGTCGCGTACTACAATTACATTAAACCAATTAATTCGGTTAATGATAGAAGATAAAATTTGAACTTAACTATCCTACTTAATTGAAACACGTGTGGCAAGTACATATTTAAAAATTAATATTTACTAACACAGAAATATTTAAAATGCAATTATTATAAGAAAGGTGTTTAGATATCAGAACTAATTTATCTCACATATTTCTCCTTTGTTTAATGATGAACTAAAATTTGTGACGACGACTATCCTGAAAATCCGTTAATAGAATATTTTAAATCAGTGAAAGCATAACGAATCTAGAATGACGGTCAAAAATTAAAGGAAATTAAATTTATATGAAAATGTATTCGCTTATTTAAGTACAAATAGAAAATTTAATCCTCCGTTATTACAGTTTGTTAATAAACAAATTGTTAGTATAAATTAAAAAATTACGACATTCTAACACTTCACACATACCGTGTGAGACAGGAGAAAGCCGATGTGTGTTGTTTTTTTCTCTAAAGTCAGAATTAGGAAGCATACATTAGGTTTTCTTCTATCTCCCATTGTTTTATAGATAATCCCAACCAGAAATATATTAAATACATAAGTACTTCATTTTCTACTACTTCTTTTTTATTTTTATTTAACTGCAACATATCAACAACATGTGCTCATGCACAAAAGTAATAAACAAACTAGTTCAAGTAACAATTATTATATTACCGTTAATTTGTAACTCAACAGGGATAAAAGTTTAAAATCGTTTTCTTTTCAACAGAATCAAACTCTATTGTGCAAACTGTAGCATTATTTCTTTGCATATTGCAAAGAAATAATTTATTGTAGGTTGTGGTAACGATAGTTTAATGTTGATTTATGAATGAACATATACACACACATAAGTATTGAAACGACACATACACTAATAGATGCTGAAAAGTTAAACTTGGTCCAAATAACCGGGAAACAATCATTTATGAATTGGCCAATTATTAAAAGAAACTGGTAAGATACTAACTTATTCTGTGGTAGGTACATTTTGAATCTCACAACTAACTCGCAGTCTGCGCTGTTCAAAATTTTCACGTTGAAGTATGTTTCGTGCAAGATATTCCAACAGTTGCCAGACGGAAAGCGCTGAAAACCGTTAAATTCGAGCAGCCAAATTAATGGGAACTGTCGTGAATAATATTTATTTTATCAGCGTTACCCTTAATTGTTACGGTATGTTTAACATCAACAGGTAAACCTAAATAGAAAGGGTAGTGGTGCATATGATTACCATTTAAAATGTAGGCTGCAGGTCCCTGTGAGAAAATGGGGTGAAAAAAACGCCCGTAAGTGGTTGTTAGCACAGTCAAGCTAGTCCTAACATATTAGGTAAACATAGATTAACTGTTGCACATCTTTGAGACTTGTGGAATGTTCAAAGTGAGTTATTAGAAATTGAAAATTAAATGAGACAAAAACAATGAACAATATTTTTGATTTAACATACCAATTGGCTATTATTAAATATCAGTTAAATTTTATATAACAAGGACAACCTGGTAACAAAAAAAATATATTTTCTAAAAAATTCTTACTTTTAAAGGTGTATATTACTAAATTCGATATAATTAGCAAGACTAGACAAGATTAAAAACAAATAAATGAGTGTTGTAGTTTCATATGTTGCAACACGAAATATAATAAAATAATAACGATTTAATGAAGGTCTGCTGAACAATGGACATTTAACTTTATAACATGTCTAAATGACGTGTTTCCAGCAGTGAATGAATGATTCCACTGAAGACTCCACCTTCTAGCAGTTAACAATGAAAATTACCTCACTTCCCTTGGACACATCCGTTCTGATCTTATTAAGTCTGGCGAAGTTGTATGTGAGCTACCATTTTACATTCTGTTTCATTCATGACTTTGTTATATTGAAGCATTTTGAGGATTTGGTATTATCATTAAAAATAATATTAATGTATATAAACAGATAAGTCAGCAAATGAATATTTTAAGAGGAATTTTCAGAATTTTATCATTCCCTATTATTTCTGCCTGTTTTTTATCTGTTATTTACTGTTATATGTTTGCTTTTTAGTTTTATTATTTCTAAACTTTTTTATTAAAACATAAAGTTTTTTAATTTTTCAATTTAAATGATTTCATAAGAAATTATAGAAATAGCGACATGTAACTAGCATCAAAATAGAAAAGTAAACAACTTAATACATACCTATAAATTGACGTAGGTACTTTTAAAAGCTACATGGAAAATAATTTAAAAAACAAAATAGTTTTTCAAAAAAACAGTGCAACAGTATATAGTTACGTCTCCATATCCTCTTTAACCGACCAAGAAATAAATTAACGTCATTGCGAAATGAAACATATTTGCATAAAATGTTTTATTTATTTCTTTTAATTTATGGTCATTAAAGTTAATAATGTTTTATTGCATTGCATACTGTTAAAGGCATTTATAATTCATATGATGATCCCATAAAATTCAGTATTGTAATTAATGGATATAAATAGTTGAGTAAGCAGTAGGGAAGAAATTTTTATTTGGTATTTTTAAATATTTGTAATAAAAGCAAGTAATCAGAGTCATATAAGGAACGGTTTGTAGGGCAAAGAATATTTTCTCTAGTAAAAGTAAGTCAGTTTAACTAGTAGATTTGTCGTTCTTGCGAAAATATAGGTATAAGCTCTTTTCTAATAATGTAAAGGCAGAAAAAACTCGAATTGCACATTAAACTATTGCGAAACAAGATTTGATCATACAGAAAATATTATTTTCCAAAGTGGTTCAAAGAGTTTAAAAAAAAAATTTTCATATACAAAAAATGTGCAAAATATCTGTTGTGGGTAAAAAACAATTCATTTATATTATTAGTCCAGAAACAACCTATATTAAATATAATATACAGGTTAGTCCAGGAAACTTCATCCAGTGATGGAACAAATTATTTTAAGCAAAAAGTTCGTAATGAACGTAGGTCGTATTGAAATTAGAAACAAACGTCGCATTTTTTTTATTTTAAAAAATTTGTTTCGCTATTTTATCTAATTAGAAGAAAAAGTTCACTTACAGATACGCAAACCAGTAGAAGAGATATGGGGTATCGGTATCAAACCATTGAACACTCTACTTGCTTTCCATTGCAATGTTATTTCTAAGATAAAAGATCTGTTACAATTTCTTAAGACGATTTGGATGTGTAACAAAGTTTTTGGTGAATTGCTCAAGAACCCATAATTTGAAAATTGGTGCCATGTAATTCTTTCAAAATAGCAGTAGGTCTCTTGAGTTTCTCGTAAATATCTATTTGTGAACAAAAAAAAACAAAAAACCACGACAATGTATAGCAAGAGTTATTCAAGATGATAAATAGTCTATATATTAACCTTATCTTTCTACCTAGGAGAAAATGATAAAGCCAAAGTTTTAGGAAATTTTGTCATGTTTATAAAAAAACAATTGGTCGTTTCGAAGATATAAACCAAACTTTGGTTTTTTTAATGGAATATTTATAGCTTATTGGGATCTTATTTCTCAACTCAAAAAAATTAAAAATATATAGGGTGTAGTATTTAAAAATAATAATACATGTGCATATACAATGTTAGGAGACTAAAATGATGACTTCTGAAAAATTATAGGCACGTAACTATGCAAAAGTCAAATCTACGAGTATTGTTATGACCATCTGAATAAAAGATAGTCATTATAATGAGTGCGAATTTGTACAAAACAAAATTTTACT